GCCCAAAAAACTCCCCTTAAACTCAATAAAAATACAACTTAAAAATGGAGAAGAAGAGAAGAGATGTTTTTGGTTATGAAAATCGGTGAACCAAATCAAAAATCACTGTTACAGCTTAAAACTGAAAAAAATCAAACGCTTTTGTACCGTACCCAAAGGGGGGACCGGTTTCCTACCACCCTTTTTTGGGGCGACCAAAATTGGGAAGGGGAAAGAGGACGAGAAAATAAAGGGGGAAAAATTTTCAGCTCATTTCCCGGAAACTTTCAAAGACTGTTAAAATTATGGACAGGTTGGTTACTTTACCTTTTATGAAACAAGTCAGGAGGAAAAACAGAGACTTTTTTAATAATCAGGGCAAGTCAAGATCACCTTTCTCCAGGTGAACCCAAAAGATTCTGAGTGCCTAGAAGATCCAAAGGGGGTGTCACTGAAGCATCGATTGAAAGAAGAAAAAATGCTAAAAATTAAAGTAAACCAGAGGAAGAGAAATAAGGGTTAATAGGGGAAAAACTTATGTTTTTCACCAAAAGAGGTTAACATCTCACTTGTAAAAACAAATTGGGATAGGGTTTGAGGTAGTAAAATTTTTAATTACTCTTAAGATACAAAATTTTTAGAGCAATACCTATTGCAGTTTGGGGAAAGGATGCTTGTTTTTTTTGAACTGTACAATAGGAGACACTAACGGCTGTCTGGTAAAGATTTTTAAAAAGAGTTTTTGGGAAATAAATTTGGGTTTTAAAAAAAATCATAGGAAGGAGATAATCATTGTTCGTCATTGACAATCTTCTAAAAAAATAAGTTAAAAGGGTGACTATTATTCGGGGGTTTACATTCTTACACTAAGGGATTTCAGGCTGGGCTAAAAGGTTTTATCTTTTTGCCAAGTCTGTGCGTAAAAAAGTCAAAAAGATTTTGGGGATTTTCCCCCCAATCACTATTCGAAATTGGTGGTAAGGGATTTTGTGAATAAATCTGGAAAAGGTTTTTAAAAAAGGTTGGGGGAAAAAGTTTAGATTAAAATAATTTGGAGAACTAGGTTAAAAACTCAAACCATAAGCTAATTTCAAATTAGGTAAGAGGGGAGAACAAGGGTGAATACACTTTGAGTAGGAAGATCAAGGTAATTGTAGGTGTTTTTTTTTATAACAAATTTGAAAGTCGGGGATTAGAATGGGACTGAGAGTTAAAAAAGTGACACTATGGTGATAATGAAACAGAAAAGACAACTTTTTTTTGGGGAAAAAGGGATAAAGTAAAAAAGGACTTTAAACACTTCATCTTTTAAAACACAGTGAAACCCTTTTAACCTTTTAACATTGATATTTTTAAACCCCTAAAATATCGCATTTTTTAAAGGGGAACCCAAATAGCCCCACGCCAATGTTAGGGAAAAAACTTTTGGGGGTTTAGGATGGGGACGTTCCTCCCACATTGGAGATAATTATGGAGAAGAAGTATACTTATCTAGTGGCAAGCATATAATTTGTTCCGGTTAAGAATTATTGGTTTAAAAAGGCTATGTAATTCATAAAGTGACGCTTATAATGGGAAGAGTTGAGGTCTGTTGTAGCCTCCACAGTCATTGAGGGAGTTCAGGAGGAGTAGATTACAGTAGCCACTCCAACAGTAGATAATACACATGGATATTGGTAACTTTCGCACTAGAAGTAATTAAGGTTAATACATCAACTACTTTAATGGTAACTTTGGAAGGGATTAATGATCGATGGCAGTAAGCAAATGTAGGAAGTATGACACCGACAACTTTCTGAAATTAAAGGGGGTAGCAAGACGAATAGGGTTAAAATAGGAGAACCGATAGTAGTAGAGACAATATAGATTCATCTGAAATAGTGAAGGAAACTATCATGGAAGTACAGGATGAGGTCTTTGATTTTAATGACAGACAGGGAGAGGTATCTGATCAGTACCGCTCGTTAGGGAAGAGAGAAACTATATGCATGTAGTTTGATTCTTCTGTTGTGAAAATTAGATATGGGAAGGTAGGAATCTTTGGTTCCAGCGGTTAACTCATTCTGTAAGATCAGTGAGGAATCTTGAGGGTCCATGTCTGTTGAGAATTCCACCACCAAACATGTTAGAGACGGTCGGTCGACCTCTATCAAGTGTGTGTCAATCTTATATGCGTTGTCATGACTGTGGTATCAGCAACAGTCAGTAACAGATAAAATAATGTCATTGTCAAAACATTTGTTTAAGCCTAGGTTTAGGTGGTATTGGGTTTAAGTGAATTAACTTGTGTGCATTTGTTAGATGGAAAGTAAAATCAGGTAACAGCAAACACTGAAGTATTGGAGGTGTAACCATTGAGGGCTAAAAGTTGTTTTTGTTCTAATAAAACATATGAGGTAAGGGGTATGTTTATGGGAATATCAGATTGTGATGTTATATGATAACTTTGGGTATGTATGACCTTAAGGGTAGTAATGAGAAATATGTTACTTTTTATGTACCAGTTAGTAGGAACAGTAGGACTTTGATGGTTAAAAGATTAGCTTTTGCCTGACAATGTGACTATGGGGAATTTGAGAGATTTGGAGGGTTTGTGGTGATAAAGCGTATATATTCTTACCCTATGGATAGACAGGATGTTGTTACATGTCAACGTTGAAGCTTCCATATGAGGTTCTACCATTATAAGAGGGGTAGCACCGGACACAGAAATCTGAAGCTATATTTGAAATTGGATGAAAAGAGACATGGCTACATGTCATAGTCTTCAAGCCTATCATTGAAGGATAAATCTAAGGGAGAAGGGGGGACTTTTTCCATGGTATGGTGTAACATTTGGAAAGATCATATTGATAATATTAGTAGATACTTTGAGTCCAGATAGTTCAGATATTATAACTAGGGTTATATATGCATTGAAGAATATAAGGGATGCGTTTGGGAGATCTGAGAAGACTTGGTTGCAAGATCAGGTAGGCCAGTAGGGGCAGTGATGGGTTACATTTAATGGCAGCTTTGATAACACTGTGTGATGTTTGTAATTTGTTACTGACCTTTGAGAAAGCTATGATATTGAGATAGGTTGGAGAGTGATGCCTGGAGACAACACTCAGATGCCGGTGTTGACTGTTCCTGATCTGGAGGAAGATGGACAAGTAGAACTGAATGGATAAATATCATTTTTTATGAGTTGATGATTTTTTCAATTTTATTTTTATTTATATTTTTTCCAATATTGGTGTGATTTGTAGTATGATTTATGAATCAAAGGGGGGAATGGGTTTATGTGATTCATACATCATTTATATATCATTTTTATATTCTTAGTGGATATTGATGTTTAATTTGAAAGGGTTGTTTTGCAAAAGATACTGTTTGGTCGTTTCTTTCTTTTCTTCCAGAAGCATTTGGGGGAACATGTGACTCAAACAAGGACAATATGAAGGGACAATATGAAACGACAATGACTGGAGGAGATGAAACAAGGAGGGTGTGGCTGATTCCATCATCAACAATCCATTGGAAGAGGAGACTACGGGGAGATGAAGTGTAGTGGACTACATTCCAGTGTCTGCAATGAAATATAGACATGTGTAATACATAATTTGTGTCATATTCTTAGGTATTAATTTTTGTAGAATGATGTTTGATGTTGTTGAATGCATGTGAGGATCTTAGATGTTTTTGTTTATTTCGTGAATGATTAGGGACAGGGAAAGTCTAGGGCAGGGAGAGGTTCACTGTAAGGTCCAATGGGTTGACCAGCCTTACAATGGATATTTATTGGATAGGATTTTGTTTGCAGGGGCTTACATGTGTATTTAATTGCATCATAGTTTCAAATGCATTTACATTGTTTATGAGGTTATCTGGAGTACCGAGGTGGTTGCCTGGGGCAGAGGGACCGTGAGAGAATTTTACTGTCTTGATTGATGGATGGAAGGTTGCCGACAGTTTTTTCGCTCTTACACTCCATAGAGATTTGTTCATAGTTCATAGTATGTATTCATACTTCATAAACAGTTATTCATATTTCATAGAAAGGTATTTACACTCTAGAGGAGAATGTTTTTGGTTTAAGGTTAAGATACTCAATAAGATAAATTGTTACTGGTCATAATCCTGTTTGTTTTCGAGACTTTTAATTTGTCTCGAAGGGGGGAATATGTCGTGTATTGAGATGATGACGTTGTTAATGTTTTAAGTGGAACCAGAGAGAATGTTGTTTATGTTAGTATCAAAAGGGAAGGTTTTAGTGTAACGTCACATACAACAGACAGGAAGTGTGTTGTAGACAGGGGAGACTGGTGATTGGCCAGAAGAGGGAGCATCTTTTTGCATTGTCTATAAATAGGGGCTAGACTACAGAAAGGGCAGAGCGGCCATGGCAATCTGGATGCCGTTCTCCGGACACCGCGGGTCTGTAATTTAGGCTGTAACCTCGTGATTTTAATAAAAGCCTCTAACACGGTGCAGCTTGAACGGACTCTTTGTTGACAGCAATAATGGCCACCATTCACCCGATACGACAAAAGCAAGGAAAATACATTGTCATGAAGAATGTTTTGATGATGACTCTCTACTGCAGGGAATATATTTTACAAATGCAATACACTGACACCTGGTGGAAATACACATGATCACATCTGTCCACAGGAACATTAGTTATACGTAACGTAATGTAGAGGATTCACATGATCACATCATCTATCCACAGTAACATTGGTTCTATGTAACATAATGTGCAGGATTCATAAAGTAAGTGCTGATATTTACAGCTACAGAAGACGATCTACAGTATAGGATCTATTCAGCCAGGTGTCAGCAACCAATCAATGGAACTATATAAAGTCGAAGTGTATCAGCTGTAGAAATAGGGGCATTACAGTATTCAAGATATACAGTAAATGGATATACTGTACAGTTGTATATCCAGGGCTGGTGAAATACTATTTAACCCCTAGTGATAGAAAAAGGTGTCTAATGCCATGTCATCATTGGTCAACGGAGCCAGAGGGTCAGGGGTTAGAATGTGGCAGCTGGAGTGTTGAGTACAGCCCATTGTCTCTCCTTGTTAACGTGCTGTAGGGCTCAATGTCCTGTTGCTCCTCCTACAAAGACATTAACTATATGTCACCATATTACACTGAAAAATGTCATATGGGCTTTGGAAATATTTTAAAATGTTGGCAAATTCAATTGAAAATGTGAAAGAGCATAGGTTGCAGATGCCTTACGACTCCAGGTAACAGCAAGCAATAACAGCCCTGACAGTCTTACGACTCCAGGTAACATCAAGCAATAACATCCCTGACAGTCTTACGACTCCAGGTAACATCAAGCAATTACAGCCCTGACAGTCTTACGACTAAAGGGAACAGCAAGCAATAACATCCCTGACAGTCTTACATCTCCAGGTAACATCAAGCAATTACAGCCCTGACAGTCTTACGACTACAGGTAACAGCAAGCAATAACAGCCCTGACAGTCTTACGACTCCAGGTAACATCAAGCAATTACAGCCCTGACAGAAAAGACAGTGTTGTTGCATCACCTCTTTAAAGGTGTTCCCTGCTTTCTGCTGTGTTCTCCTGCTGTGTAAAAGAAGAGAAGACTAGTGAATGATCGTAGCATCACATGGTTTTACACAGCAGATGCTTTCGGGAGCAACATGTCTCTACGTGTGTGTTTGTGCCTGCCAGTGTATGTTTTGTTTTTCCGACACTCATTTTTGACAAGGCAGGAAGTGAGAAGCTTCAACAGTGGAGTTATTAGTGACCTAAAATAACCTTATCGAGTCAGACTTAAACGTAGGTCAAGTAGCCTATGTCATACGTTTGGGTATTTCATATGATCTCAGATCTTGCCAGCTCTTTGTCACTCATAGTCATTCCATTGACATTTAGTTGGCAAGAGAGCACAAACAAATCTTGGATCTATAGCCTACCGCATATTTCTGAGGCCCATAGTTCTCTATATGAATTGTAGATCAGATTGTTATTTGAGATTGCACTTACAGTATATTATTACAGTACCCCCATAACAAAGTAATTGATTAATTAAATGATCAAATATGTCAAATACCCATAAACTGTTCTTTTAACAAGCTAATAAGAATGTCTTACCTGAGATTACATTTCCTCATGATTATTCCAGCAACGACAACGACGGCTACAAATCCTGCAAAGGCTGTTATTATCATGAAATGGAAAGAAATGTTGTTTGTGACATGGGGTCCTGAAAGATAAAAGGGAAGAACTCATTGTGATCCTAGATGTCTCATTTCTCTTCCTCCACCCTGGTCATTAACATTGTTGACAGATGCTCCATTTTAAGATTATTTTTCATACAATCCAATTCACTTGGACTGAGATAGTAGATATGACTAAATGAGACCAAACATTCACAGTACAAGCTAAATGTGTATTACATATTGTATCTATTGCACTGACACGCAAACCAAACACTTACCATTGATAAAAACGTTGAGATGCAAAACATGTGTTACTCCATGAAATACACACTCACAGGTGTAGTTCCCTTCATCAGATGGTTGTATGTTGGTGATGTATAGAAACACTCTACCACTCTCTGTCTGTAGTGTGACTCTTGGGTCACAAGTGCTGTTGGTACCATTTTGTTCAAACCGAAAGGACACTTGACACTCATTCCCACCACTTATCACTCTATCTATCTTACATATTACATAAATTTTTTCATGACTGATTTGGTTTGGGCAGGCGAGAGTGTGTAAATCTGCTCCTGTTTCCAATGTTTTCACTTGAATCTCTGTAAACATGAAGGGAAATGGGTTGTAAGTGTATTGTTTCATTTAAAATGTTTGTTTTGCATTGACTAGCATTACAATTGCAATGCACAATTTATTGCATTAGAGAAAGGTGCATAAAAAATAATTATACATATATAAATTAATGACAATATTCTGACTCAAATGTTGCTGCTTCCCTAAATGCAGTTCAAATAGTGCTGAGTGGAACTCCTCTTGTTATACGAGGTAATGCTAATGGCATTAACATTTCACAAATGAAATATGAGGACAGGACCTCTCTCCTTTTTCAGTGTTGTACAAACTGTACATGCATGCTGTGTGTTTGAGAAAAGGACACGTCTTACCTTCAAAGGCTGTGCACACACCCCACACCAGCAGAAGCAGAGAAAGCCTGAATGCACGTCTTCCACACATAATGACCAACTGCAGAACCAAACGTTAGTCCAATATTTTCTGCTCAGACCTACAACAGATCAAAAGTAAAACTTAAGCACATCAAAGTGATGGTCCTTTGACAGTTTAGACCCAGTCACATAATCTCGAGACAGCCGAGAGGAGGAAATGGTGCTGTGTAAATGTATTCTAGCATCTATGGGTTACTTTCACAATTACAATACATCTATTGGGCTGTGTCTAGGGGCTATGCAGTGCAACCACCACATATAATAATAAACTACGTGCCGTGGTCCACTTCCTGCTCTAGCAACAATGATAGATTCTGACATTACCCAAGACTGAGGGGGGTTATATCAAGTGTATGTAAGTAATGGTTAGATCTGGTCCTCCAGGTTAATAACAGGAAATGAACCTACCAAGTGCTATGTTTATGATATAAGATTATTATCATTCAATTCAATTATTACCTTTATATACCAATGCCTTATTGATAACTCTACAGCAGGGCAATAAAGTCCAGGGGCCTCATTTATAAACCCTGCATACTTGTAAAATAGACCCCAGAATGTACCTGCGCCAGTAGGGATGCATGGGTAAAATCACTGGGGAAGCCAATCCAGGAAAGAAAAAACATATTACATCCTATGTGTTGTGATAATTGCGTTGTTTGCGCTATAACCTGTTAGTTCATATGCCTTGATACCGTGATATATAGGCCTAAAGGCAGAGACAATAAGAAGATACAGTGGCAGAATAAATTGAACCACACCTTTTGTTTCATTACAAAACCAGAGAGCAACTTTTGTCCGGTGAAGTCTACAAAACATATTGACAAACAGTTTACAAAACATATAACAAACAGTTAAGTGACCTACAGCATGGTCAAGCAAGGTAATGTTTCTGACATTTTCGGACTACTAAACAACTATTGATTTAGAGCCACAGAGAGTTACCGCAAGTCTCAAAGAACAACAGGAGCTGCCTCCACTATTCCAGGACCATTTTTCAACTAACATTTCAACATCTAATCATTAAAAGAAAAAGAAACCAAAAGATATGTTAACTAAAGATGCGTCCATGGGGCTGTTAGGGGTTTGTTGTGCCCCGGGGCAAAAAAAACAGTTACTCACCCTACGGAGAAACTCCAACGCCATCCTCCTTTTCATTTGCCCAAACGGGCATGAATCTGTCATACGTACACGCTTTTATTTTTTTTGTCCTAGGGTACCGGCTAAAAAGCTTATTTTGACTAACTTCCTTTCATGGACAAAAAAGAAGAACAAAAAAAAAAAAAAAAAAAAAAAAAAAAAAAAAAAAAAAAAAAAAAAAAAAAAAAAAAAAAAAAAAAAAAAAAAAAAAAAAAAAAAAAAAAACTTTGCGGGATTGTTTCTAGCCCAAAAACCAAACTGCTTCCCTTGAACTTTTTTTTACCCGGGGGACCATTAAAAGAATAGGGGTTTTATCAGAATTTGGCTGTTAAATCATTTTGGGGGGTCGATTTTTAAGGAAACATGCATGGCGTGCTCCAAGTTTATAAATCTCTATTTGTAGGTGTGCAGTCTTTTCAGAAATGGCAAATGCATGTATTTTGTCACGACTTCGGCCGAGGCTGCCCCCTCCTTGTTCGGGCAGGCTTCGGCGTTCGTTGTCACCGGAGTACTAACCACTGCCGCCCTAATCATCATCACAAATGTCTTGTCTCGTTATCACACACACCTGGTTCTAATCCCCTAATTAGTCAGTGTATAAGTGTTCCCTCTGCCCCCTTGTCCTTGTGGGTGATTGTTTATTGTGAAGGTTAGTGAAGCTCGTGTATTTTGTTAGACGGGAGTATTTTCCCGTGTGCCTTGTATTTTCCAGTGCACCTGTTTTGTGCCATGGAGTGTGTTTGACGCAGTTCTGCGTAAACCTGTATTTTGCGGATTAAAGCCTGTTATTCTGTGATTTACCCTCCTGCGCCTGACTCCTTCAACACCACCTTATCACAGAATCACCCACCCGAATATGGAGTCAGCGGGAGAAGAGCGCATGCCTGGAGTCGTGACACGGGTCCAGGAGCATTCCACGATGCTGGCCAGCTTGGGGGAAGCGATGGATTGGGTTCTTCAGGTTGTCCAACGCCTGGAGAGGAGAGAACCTGATCTGTCGAGACCAGCTGGCAACCGGATCCAGCCATCTACACCCTAGCACCCGGAGGGATCCAGATATCCTGACCACGGGTGTTTGATGTACCCTACCTACACTGTAAAGCCTAATAAGTTCACATAACTCAAATTATTTTGTAACAGATTACACAAAAATATTTTAGTGATGTTTTTAAATGTTTTAAGTTTACATAAAATAAAAATTACATGTACAGTTGCCTTAAATTATCTCAATGTTATCTTATAAATATTGATATTCCTCAACTTATAATTAGGGAGTAATTCACTCAAAATTTTCAATATTTTTCAACTCATATAATGTGGGAAATACACTCAAAACTTTCTATATTCTTCAACTCATAAATGTGGGAAATACACTCAAAATATTAAATATTCTTCAACTCATATAATGTGTGAAATACACTAAAAATTTTCAATATTCTTCAACTCATAATGTGGGACATGCAATCAAAATTAATTCTAAACTGAAATACTGATGTCGGTCCATTACACAATTATAATCAGCGAATAATGTTAGAAAACATGAAAGTGACACCACAGTGACAATTTAACTTTTTTTTTATTCAACACAATGTGCTTTTAAAAAGGCACGAATCAAAAGGAGCTCAGTCAAAACAAAGTGCTTGTCATAAATTAAAACAAAAAAGGAAAAGGAAATGACTCCATAAAAACAAAATGTGTTTTAAACTACAATAAGTGTTAATAGTTCCATATTCTGATAGTGGTCATTGCTACAGAGGGTAGATTCAGTATTTTGGGTCTCCATATCACATTATTCAGTAAACATTATGATAAAAACTCACAAAGGCTTCATGATAAAATTCAATAAGATTCTAATTATAATCCATCCTCAACAGCAATGACAACTATTAGAATGTGGAGCCATTTAAAACGTTTTGGCACTTACTGTACCTTGAAGGCTGCAACTCACTTTTTTAAAATAAAACATTCAAATAAAAGTACTGGTTTCTACTGTGCCGTACTTCAACTGGCAACATCAAGGTAAGCATTAGGTCACACAACATTAAACATGTATAGTGCATGAATTCAACAGTCGTTTCCCACAAGTACAGTACAAAAACTTGGGCTTGGCAATACGTCAATGTTGTGATATTTATCTATTAACAATCAATGTATTAAATCTGAGGTAGAAGAGGCAAACAGTGTAACATATTAAACATGAGGTAGAAGAGGCAAATTATTACATTTGTAAAGAGGGGAAAAAAACAAAAAACATCCTCAATACTCAGCTCAACAAATAGTCCATTCTGAGTGATTCACTCATTGAACAAATCATTCTTCAGTGTCAGTAGACGCACTTTCAGTGGTTTGTTGTCCTCAAGACACATCACAACTTTTTGGATAAATGTGAATGTAAGCTCGAGATTCTTTGGGTACTGTAGGTCTAGTGCATAGACATACCCAAAGAGCAGGAGAAATGAGTCAGCCAGGTTTGTGGGACCACTCACAAGTATTTAATCTTCCACGACAATACAGATGCTCTCAGGGCTGAAGAGGGCCGCATCAGTAGTATCATCAGTGACAACTGTCAGGAGAGCCACCGGAGTGTCAGTGAGGTCTGGACCATCTGCTGACTATAAAACACAAATAATACAAAAATGAGTTCAGCCCCTCAAGGATACAAATCATGCTAATGAGGCCTAGACATTACGGTCACTTTGCACTTAGACTGCAACTAAGCTACATGTTTAAACTATTTTCTTTACACATGCTTATTATTTTATGTTAGTTTCACACCTACCTGTAAGCATACTTTTTGTTTAGTGGAATTCTTTATACTTACCTTTTCATTTATGTAATTTCTACATGTCAGTTTGCAGAATAACAACTCAAGGAAACTTCATAAACAGGTCCTGGGGGCTATTCCAGAAAGGAGCAGGGGCGGTGTGTTCATTAGGGCGATATGGGCGATGCACTGCCAATTGGGAAAAGGAAGGGATTTTTTTTCTAATCAATTATATCACGGCAACAGTAGTTATCAGTGTTCTAATCTAGACGTCTGATCTGCCACTAAATGTCCAATCAGGCTAAAGTCGTGCTTCAAATGGCCCCGCCCCTTTTGGGGCGATTTCAGTCAGGTTGAAAATCGCCCCAGAAGTCTCTCATAGACTGTAATGTAAAATCTTTTTTTTTCAAATATCAGAGCTTTCAATACAATCTCTATGGGTTTCTGAGGGCTTGCACTTACGCGCTTTCGTCATACGTAACATAACCATGAACGTAACTAAGAAAAGAGCGGGTAGCAGCGTCAATCAATTCACGTACTACTCTCTCACTCAAGATGGCTAGCGTTCAGTGCAACTCGATTGTCTCTTTGAAAGAAGTTCACATCAAAGACCATTCAAAACGAGCTACTGGAGTGTATGCTAGCGGTCATGAGGGAACATATTGTGGAGGAGGTGAAGTCGGCGAACTTCGTAGCTATCCAAGCTGACGAGACCACGGACGTTTCTACACAGACACAGCTGGTGCTTGTGCTGAGGTACATAGATAGCAACCACAAAGTGCAGGAGCGCTTTTTTGAGTTCCTTCCCATCTCGGAATCAACCTCAGTCTCAATCGCCAGTGTGCTTTTGGAGAGACTGAACGGTCTTTTTTGCCGACGACGAGAAAGTCAAACTGTGGTGCACTGGCACTGTACCAGGTTCTCATGAGCTACAACCTCCAGGAGACGTTCTCTGAGACTGTGACTCTGTTGAACATCCTCATAACTACTCCCATGACAACAGCTGAAGCTGAGAGATGTTTCTCAACTTTGACACGAGTTAAGACATTCCTGCGAAATTCAATGGGCCAGGAACGTCTGAATGCACTGGCCATGCTTTCCATGGAGAGGGAACTAGTCCTCAGCATGCCTGATTTCAATGAGAAAGTCATTGACCGCTTTGCTGCATTGAAAGAGAGAAGAGAACAGTTTCAGTACAAGTAATGTAGCCTCTCTCTCTCTTTGTCCCTCCCTGTCTGTCTCTGTAACACACACACGCCCAAATCAGTTCACAGTTGATGTTGTTTAAAATAGTTATTTTTCATTTTTAAAAAATTAAATAATCTGTTCATGTTCATTTTTACAAATCTATACAATTGGCCAGAATATGGTTGTTCATATTTACAAATCTATACAATTGGCCAGAATATGGTTGTTAATTTTTACAAAGCCATACAGATAGCTGTGTTTACCTTTTCTAGAAATTATTTTCAAATTCTGTTTTCAGGCAAAATGTCTATCACTGTTCATTTTCACAAATCTATACAAGAGGGCAGAATATGGAAGTCTATAAAAATGTCTTATTACCAATAACTTGCATCAATGTTTTCAGTAGCCTCTATCAAAAGCTCCTGCTTGCTTGTTGTGAATTATGCTCAGGTGCACATATTTCCAATTCAACCATGAGGCAAGAAATGTGGTAAAAGCTCTTGTTGATCCTGCAATCTGAACAAATACCAATATGCTGTATTTTCAGCTGATATTTCATTTGTTTATGGAAATGCATATTGTTTATGCAGTGTTGAGGAATGTGAAAGAACACCCTTGATTATTTTTACTGTGATAACTTATTTTGCTTTTGTAAGCCAACACTTTTGAGATCAGTCAATAAATGCTTCTGGTATTGACTTATATGCTGCCCCTGTCTTCATGTTGTTGCTGGACATATCTTTTTTTAAATGTGTGTAGGTCACCTAAATCATCAGAAAAATTGCCCCCCCTGAGAATTTTTTCAGGAGCCGCCACTGGAAAGGAGGTTCAACAAACTGAGCCTAACCCTGAACTCAGAGTTGACTTACCCTGTGAAGTGAAACAGAGTTTTCAGTTACAGAACAGCTGATCTGAGTTAGGTAAGTTGACTCAGAGTACGTTAACTCGGAGTTGAGCTTGTGCCTGACGACTAGTAAAAAGCCATCATCAATGGAGCTCCGACACGGTTATTCACCATGGCAACGGGAGAAAACAGGAAGCAGACATTTTCTGGCTGCGGCTGTTATATAAATCACTGACAGAGTTTCAGATGCAGTCGTCTTTTCATTTTGAATTTAACATCACTTTATTTTATATTAGCCTTTAAGGAAGTGGTTGAATGTTGTTCAATGTTTTATTTCAGGCTATTTTGTTTTATTTAAATCGGCTGAAAATGAAATATAAAAACATTTTATCTCATACTCAATGCGGCGACAAACTAGAAACACGGACTTTGAAATTACGTTGTTGGAAAAAATACAATTGGCTATACTGATGGTTTTCACATAACCTGCTTTCTGGAATGCCCCTCTGCTTCTCCTAGAGTTCTTTGAGTGATGTCATGTTTAAGCTGACTGAATAGCTAAACAAAGGGATTGATAGTGAGGCCAGTACACTTACATTACAGGTCCTGAAAAACTTGGAGGCATCTTCACGCAGGTACACAGGAAGTGCACGAAGGACGAGGGCCCGTCTCATATTTACATCACGTTGTTCCTACATGGACAAAAAATATCCATTACAATAATAATTACACAAATGCAGAGCAAACTCTCAAAATCTAAGTGTTAAATAGCTCCATATTCTGATGGTGGTCATTGCTATAGATGGTAGATTCAGTATTTTTGGGTCATCATTTCTTCAGTAAAACATTTTTCAAATTAATAACTTTCTATTGTAATTACTTTAATAACTCAAAGTAAAAAAGTTAAAATTGTAAATCAAATTTTACGAAAACAGTAGTTATTTGGACTTCTTCAAATTGAAGCTGACAAAGTATATTTTTAAGGTACCTCTTTCTGATAGAATACATCTTGTCAAGACGTCTATCTCTGATGAGATGACAATGTTGCGTTCATGGCATAATCAATTAAATTGATGGTTCGGAGTAATTTCACCCTAGGGTCCTTTGCACCATGACCTCGAGCCAAACACCCCCCCAGAAGCTTTTTTCACCTGGGTCGAACATTGGGAGAGTTAGCGTAGAGTAGCGTTATCAGCTGAATAGCTTAGCGCAGGGGCTAATGGATCCGAAGCGTCTCTTAACATTACCCCACTAATAATGCCCGAAATGATACCAAACGTCTACAGTAGTACAAATAGGTTGCACTCATAAAACGATGGATTGGAAAGTTTGTAAATACACCAGAAGTTTATGTAAATAACACTTGCCTGCTGGCTTCTGCTCTCTGCTGTTGTTGTTGCTGCTGTAAGACGAGTGCTTAGGGACGTCTACAAATTACAACACCGAAAAGAGATGCAACAAAAATATTTTTTAATTTAACTTATTTTTAAAGTAAGTGCTGTAGAATAACTAGCAGGAGACAAGTTATAATTGAGGTAAGTTTGGAGACATTACCTTATTTAATCATTAAATCTCTGACTTTATGTTTTTTACCCCATATGTAACTCTGTGTTGTTTTTATTGCACTACTTTGCTTTATCTTGGCCAGGTCGCAGTTGTAAATGAGAACCTGTTCTCAACTGGCTTACCTGGTTAAATAAAGGTGAAATATATATATATATATTTTTAAATCTCTTTTCGGTGTTGTAATTTGTAGACGGCCCTAAGCACTCTTACTGCCCGGTAGTAACAGCAGCAGCAGCAGCAGAAGCCAGCAGGCAAGTGTTATTTACATACACTTCTGGTGTACTTACAAACTTTCCAATCCATCGTTTTATGAGTGCATAACCTATTTGTACTACTGTAGACGTTTGGTATCATTTCGGGCATTATTAGTGGGGTAATGTTAAGAGACGCTTCGGATCCATTAGCCCCTGCGCTAAGATATTCATCTGATAACGCTACTCTACGCTAACTCTCCCAATGTTCGACCCAGGTGAAAAAAAGCTTCTGGGGGGGTGTTTGGCTCGAGGTCATGGTGCAAAGGACCCTAGGGTGAAATTACTCCGAACCATCACTTTAACCTTGGGGCACAGTCGAGGCAATTCACACCATGGCTTCAAACAGTTGTTTGTTTCTGAATCATGCAAAGTTAAAAATTCACCTGAAGCTCATAAATCCTCATGAGCTTGGCTAGCTCCTCCGCTATCTTGCCAGTCTTGGTGCCCTTGTCTCTGAACAAGGTGATGAGTTTAGGCGTGTGTCTGTCCAGCTCCTTGTAGAATTGATTGCGCAGGTTAACGTTGTTGATTCGGTGGAACTCTGCAAACACCTGTACATGGACAGAATTACACAAATGTACAAAGATGAATAAGGAACAGAATTGTGAATGTATTTTAAGAAGTTTTCAGTTGGCAGGCTGCAAAACAAAGGTACATTCTATTAGGGATGAGTCAGAACCAAGGTCAAATTTTTTTTATTTTTTTTTATTTAACCTTTATTTAACCAGGAAGGGCTCATTGAGATTTAAAATCTCTTTTTCAAGAGCGTCCTGGCCAAGATAGGCAGCACCAAGTCATTACAAAAAATTACAGACAGACAACATGAAAAACTACAAGTAATCTAGTAAAAAAACATTCATGAATTCACAAGAGTATAACAATATCAAAAACAGCAAATTAAAAACATTGACAGGTCAGGGAATCAGCCTCAAAATCCTTCATCAGAGATTTAAAAACACCAATCGGGACAAGTTCTTCCAGTTTAAAATTATTTTGTAAGGTGTTCCAAGACGATGGCGCAGAGTACATAAAAGACCTTTTACCAAATTCAGTTCTGACATTTGGAACAGTTAGCAGGATAAAGTCCAGTGAACGAAGAGAGTACCCACCACATTTCTGAACAATAAAAATGCCCAAATAAAAAGGTAGTAAACCCAAAATGGCTTTGTAAATAAAAGTATACCAGTGACTGAGCCTACGAGTGACTAGAGAAGGCCAGCCAACCCTGGTATACAAAGTACAGTGGTGCGTAAGGGTTTTGCAGTTTAAAATAAATCTCAAAGTACCATGATAAAGAGTGTCAATTGATCTCAAACACTGAGCGGAAGCATTCATATATAAAATATCCCCATAATCTAGTAAAGGCATAAATGTAGCTGATACTAGCCTCCTTCTGGCTTCAAAAGAAAAACAGGCCTTATTCCTAAAATAAAATCCCAATTTCAGCTTCAATTTTTTTGTAAGTTGTTGAATATGCAATTTAAAAGAGAGGCCGTCATCAATTAGAATTCCAAGATATTTATATGAGGTTACAACCTCAATCTCCTTGCCCTGACAGGTAATAACAGGTGAAAGGTTCAGAGGTCTATTTCTTGCATTAGAAAACACCATTAGTTTAGTTTTGTCAGTGTTGAGGATAAGCTTCAATTGACACAAGGTATGTTGAACAGTATAAAAAGCAGTTTGCAAGTTCTGGAAAGCTTTTGTAAGAGATGAGGCACAACAGTAAATAACAGTATCATCAGCATAAAAATGAAGTTGTGCATTTTGGACATTTTTGTCTAAATCATTCATATAAATAGTGAATAAGAGAGGACCAAGTACAGAGCCCTGGGGCACACCATTCAGGACAGACAATTTAACAGACATAAGCCCATCAAATTGAGTGCACTGAGTTCTATCAGACAGATAGTTAGCAAACCATGCAACTGCATGCTCCGAAAGACCTACACTCAACAATCTCTGCCTTAGTATAGCATGATCAACTGTATCAAAAGCCTTAGAGAGATCAATAAAAAGTGAGACACAGTGCTGTTTTTTGTCAAGGGCTTCAGTGATATCATTTAAAACCTTCATGGCTGCTTTAATTGTGCTATGCTTCTTCCTGAAGCCCGATTGATACATTGATAAAATAGAGTTAGTAAATAAAAACTCTTTTAGCTGTTCACTTACAAGGGTTTCAAGTATTTTCACCAGGGGTGACAGCTTTGAGATTGGCCTATAATTATTTAAAATAGTTGGATCTCCCCCTTTTAAAAGTGGTAGGACAAATGCTGATTTCCAGATCTTTGGAATTTCATTACATTCCAGGGTTAGATTGAACAGATATGTAAGTGGTTCAGCTATGAAATCAGCTGCCAGATTTAAAAAGCAGGGATCCAAAAGATCAGGACCTGCAGGCTTTCTTTGATCTAAGGATTTCAGGGCTTTATGTACCACCTGCACTGAGAATGGCAGAAAACTAAAAGTTTGACCAGCTCTCACTGGTTCATCCACACAGGGTTGTACAAAGACAGAGGACACTGGTTCATCCACACAGGGTTGTACAGAGACAGAGGACACTGAATCAAACAGCCTACCACATGATACAAAGTGCTCATTGAAACAATTCAGCATTTCAGTTTTGTCATATATAGCAACAGAGTCCTTCAAAACACATGACGGTAATTCATTAACATTACTGTTACCAGACATAGACTTAATAGCATTCCAAAACTTTCTAGGGTCATTCAGGTTATCAGTGGTAACAGACATAAAATATTCAGACTTGGCCTTCCTGAGAAGAAAAGAACACTTGTTTCTTAACTGCCTAAAAATAAGCCAATCAGCATCAGAACCAGATTTCCTTGCTTTAGCCCAGGCTAGATTACGGTCGTGAATAATACAAGACAGCTCAGAAGAAAACCATGGATTATCCCGCCCTTTAACCCTGAACCTGCGGAATGGTGCATGTTTGTTTACTATTTGGAAAAAACCATCATGAAAGAATATCCAGGCAGTTTCCACATCAGGGATAAGCTCAATCTTGCTCCAGTCAAAATAAAACAAATCATGAAAGAAAGCCTGCTCATTAAAACACTTCAAATTTCTCTTACGAATAAAACGTGGATTTGTCTTTGGAACCTTAGTATTTCTAACAGCAACAACAGCACAATGGTCACTTAAATCATTACAAAAAACACCAACCGCAGAATATTTATGTGGAACATTTGTCAATATCAAATCAATCAGGGTAGATTTATCAGGGCATTTAAGATTTGGGCGAGTGGGTGAATTAATCAACTGGGTAAGATTCATAGAATTACAAAACATTTTTAAATCATCAGACACCGGCTTTAACCAACACCAGTTGAGATCACCAATCAAGATCATTTCACTGTAAAGAAGTTTAGACATAAGGTGCGTCAAAGAAGAAAATGCATCACCAAGAGCAGAGGGGGGTCTATAACAGCCAATCACAGTTATAGAGAGGCCCTTTGAAACCTCAATATTCAAAGCAAGAAATTCCAATTGTTTACAAATAGTTTCAGACTTTGCCACACTTACATGGAATTTAGATTTTACATATATAGCCACACCCCCACCTTTCTTAACCCGATCTGTACGATAAACATTGTAACCACTTATACAAACATCCTTATCAAAAATAGACACAATTACATCAGCATCAGTTGATTTAGCCCAAATCCTAACCCCATCAATTTTTGACAACAGGCTGCGTACATTTAAATGAAAAATACCAAAACCAGATCTAGATTTAAAATCAGAGGGGGTTTGGAGACATTGCATATCAGGGCCAGGGTTAGGTTGCACGTTACCTGATATCAACAACAGAAGAATAACTAAGCACCTCTGTTTAATAACCTTGCACGGCTTCTCTTTTTTAAGAGACCTACTGCAAGCGAATTCTACAAGTGAGTTTCCAGACAATACAAAACAGTCATTTAAAACCATTAGACTTTGGTAGTGACACAAATTCGTACTGTTCACATCATGCCACAAATACATCGGCACTTGGACGAGTGGACCGAGTGAAAAAGAGCGAGTTCCTGCAGACAAAATGTCTAATGGACGCGAGAGTACATTTTCAGATGTACTCACCCTGCGACAATGTTCGTTTTCTCCAGAGTTCAATAAAGTCAGTGACTTACGCAACTGATAGAAACAGAAGTAAAGATGAGTGGTGGACAGAACGAGCGAACAGGCGGCACGAGGATTAAAGACTCGCTGCCTGTGCCATAGAACGGGGGTTGCTTGGATACGTTGTCGAATTGGAGAAGAAAGGGCGACAGAGGAGGGTTCAGAGTATGCGTCCGTTGGCTACAGCAGAAGGGCGTATTTATGAGAGACAGAGGGGTATCACACTAATCGCCGTGCGCTGTGAGCCGCAGGTAAGCGAGGTTTCAGTAGAGGTCCGCACACTAGAATTGCCCGAGGCAAGGCCCGACTCGTGGGGGGAGGGTGAACCGTGGTGGGCGGGTAAACACTAGGGTGAGGCCGGTAATTGCGGAGCCCGAAGTGCTAGGAGTGGCGACTAAGGTGTGGTAGCAGAAGAGCGAGCTGAGGTGGTGCGCCCCCGAAACGGGTTGCAAGCACGGGCATGTTGCCCGACAGTGGTCGGTTTCTTGCGGCGGCCAACAGGGTGACACGGAGGCGGGATGTGAAGTAAGGGAGCGAGCAGTAGGCTGAGAAATGGCGGAGGTAGGTGAAGATCTGCCGTAGCGCCGAGGGTGGGGGGGCTCGCCGCACGAGGGCCCATATCCGGGTGAGATCCAAAGAAGCGAGTCCGGTACGGTAATGCGGCGGGGTTCACCGCCCGCGAAGCACCGCACTTAGACCGGCGCCGAAGGCCTCCCACAGCCTCTCGCAGATCCCTGACAGCCCAAAACGTCCCCCGGGTGTGGCCGTAGTCCCCCTCCGTACCGACCCGCGTAAGGGCCCGAAGCCGGGGAGCCAGCGGACCATACAGGGGATAAATTCGGGGAAGCGTGTATAAAAGTCACTGCGGGACGGACATAACACAGAAGACGCCCGTCGGGCGCTTGGATATTATGTCCGCTGACGATGATTTCTCGTAGAGCCAACTTCACGGCCACATCTCGGTCACCGGCACCTTGAAGAAGAGGAAGAAGTGGGTCGAGGATCTGACCAAAAACAAGAGGCCAACGAAGGTAAGTGGAGAGAGGGACAGCGTGTATGTGAGTCAATGTGAGTGTTTGCGCGTGTGAGTAGATTGGGTGTTTGAGGGCGATAGAGAGAACGAGTTGAGCTGCCACTGACAGCCAGGCGAAGAGCAAGAAGCAGCTCGGACAAGACACTCCGCGGACTAACGAGGAACTCAGGCCAGCCAGAGATAGGGTTACTTTGGTAAACTTCAAGTAATGAAGTTCCGAGTTGAGGAGGACCCGTGATCTTTACACCAGCAAAAATAAAATAGTTTGCACTACGCAACAACGAAGTTACGCAACCATAAATAAATAGATTATTAGTAGGTTAAAATGTACTAGTCACAAACAAACGACTTGACATGCTGCCATCTTGGAATTGTGGACATGCTGCCAAAATAGAAAGTTAATTGTCATTCTTTAATTTAAATCAGGCTGTATAATGTTATCTAAAAGGAAATTAAAATAATAAACCTCTGTATACTTTGTTTACTGTGAATGGCAAAAATATGTCACAGCGTGATGTGTCAACTTTTACATCTGCCATTTGCTTTTTGGTGAATCTTTTGAAAATTTAAATAGTCATTTAAATATAGAAAAATCAATCATGTTCAAAGTGGGCATGCTAAAGAGTCATGTTGATTAATTGCTCTCAACAGGGAGAACAGTAAAATAAAAGTTTTTTTTTACCTGTGACTCCATAAGTAGGGCTGGCCATCTGTCCACGACGTCTCTCACCCGTGGAGCTACAAGAGCTCCAACGATTTCTTGGCGACGAAGGGCATAGGTTGTGTTCATGAGCTTGCCTATGACTAATTGGTTTCTCTCAGTCTTTTCGACTTCATGTATGATTTCTTCTCTCATTGTTTCCAGAGTGGCTGGGGTTTGATCCTTCGGTAGGTTGATGATGTAGGCCTAGTTGACCTCAGCTTTTCGAGCTTTCTTTATGTTTTGATGGGGGTGATCATTGTCAGGGTTGTTTCGGCTCCGCCTCCCTGTGTTGATGGCTACTTCTGCAACCCCAGCTTTGGCCAGATTGTTACGGTAAGACGCAACCTTGTACCCTATGTGACGTTTCCATCCCAACTCCCCGTCTTCACCAGCCGTCATTCTGAGACATGGATGAGCTGTAATCAAAGCTTGAGCAGCCATTGCCAATTCCTTTTCATGTGGGTATGGTTTAAAACTGTAGATCGTTTCTGCCATTTTTTAAAGGATTTCACTCTTCTGTGACCTCTTTAACTTCAGCAATTTTCCTGATTCTTCATAAACGCGATTTCCTTCTTCTAGTATATGCTCCATTTCATAACCAAAACCAGGAACAACAAAGTGATCAGGCCAACTCTTCTGGCGCTGTAACGCAGGTACATGTGGGAGAATGTCTGTGTCAGAAGATGCAGTAGATGAGGAGTCACCTTCAGGTCTGACGACTCTCAATGTGCCCTTCTCTGGTAACTCCTGAATGTCCACAAGAAGACAAAGATCACCATCAAAGTCCGGATCCTCATAGTGCAGGCTAAAGTCCCCATCCAGTCTCGGCTTGAACCTCTCTTGCATTATTTCTTTCAGCTCCTCCACTGACTTTGGTCGCTCAAGTAAAGTAAGTTTCAGGGCGGTGTCTCGTGCAACATACACACGCAGTACATGCTTCTGGGCAGCAATCAATCAATCAATCAATCAATTTTATTTTATATAGCCCTTCTTACATCAGCTAATATCTCGAAGTGCTGTACAGAAACCCAGCCTAAAACCCCAAACAGCTAGTAATGCAGGTGTAGAAGCAGCAGCCATCTTTTGATTCCTAAAAGACAAAAACATGTTAATTTTCATGGAGAGCGAAGGTGACACACACAACATATACATGTCCACATACCCACTGGTCCACAAAAACACTGGGACACCACTTGAACGATGGGATGTATGGAAAGCCAGCTGCTGTAGTGGGGCGCTGTGCAGAATCTGCAAAAATATTCTGCTCTAAAAGACTTTGAAAAGCCTGCCAAATCATGGGCTGCAAGATTGTCAGACACCACACACATGACTGTTCCTTGAACTACCTTACCAATAGACTCAATGAATACCCCATCTTGTTCAAGGGTACGGAGGTCTCTCAACAAAGGACCAAGTGCTTTTTCATAGCCAAATGTCTGTATGTCAGCCACTTTACATAAAGCTGCAAGCTGAATTACATGCAGGGCTGATCGGTATTTACTGGCAAGATCAGCAAGAGTCCAGTATACTGAACAGATTTTGTGTATTTTCCGTGATGTGCCAAGTGGATTGGCTATTTCCAAATCATCAATGTACAAAATGAGTGTTATCGTTAACTCATCTGAAGACAAGAATGTGTTCTCTTTGAAGTACAAGCCATCTTGGTGGCTTACATAATGACTGTTTTGTGCCACTTTTGTTTCTTTAATTTTGTCCAGAATATCTGTATGATTGAAGATTTTTTGTATCATCTCCAGAATGGGAACATGCACTGCTGTGTGTCCTGGCTGTAGCAGATACTGTACAGGCTTTACCACAAGGTAATTATTTTCGATGAAGGTTTTCCTTCTCTTGGTTGAGGATAACTGCTTCCCCTTAGCTGTGGCACTGACAATAATATTACTGTCCATAACAGTACTGACAACATCATTTAGAAGTGTTTCACTGACAGTGATGTCATGACTCTGTAAGACCTCTCTAATATCTTGTTTGAGTATCGGTTGGGACAAGGAAAATATCTGAGTCAAATGTTCCACTATCTCCTGAGATGCCATGTCAGATACATGAAGAATAGATTGCATCTTTAGGAATAACGATGCCAAGTTATGCTTCAACTGGGCTCTTAAAGTGTCTGTGTCACACTGACCGTTCACCTCATCAAGATCAAATGTGTCCGCAGACCCTGCACTGTGACTTTCAGCGTGTTCCCCAAGACTTTCTGCTGCAACTACAACTGGGGCACTATCATTGTCTGCCAATACAACACATTCACCAAAGTCTGAATCACCACCATGTTTTCTACTTTTGTGTGCATTAAACGCTGAGTAGCTATTTGTTCTGTAATTACAATTCTTGAATGGGCATGCTACCATCTCATGACTTCGTAAATGACTTCTCAAATGACCCGATAGAATTTCCTCAGAAAAGGGCTGCTTGAAAAAAATCTAAACATTGTGAATAACTCAAGGCGAAAATCTTTTTTTAAATTTTTAATTAGTACACAATTTACAAAACTCACCTATTAGCACCTGTCTGATGGTGAAACGCTGGCTCTCTGTAGCACTCTTTGTAGTCCGATATCTGTACACAACATGCGCACAAAGATGATTTGTTAATGTTCAAAAACATTTTTAAAATAATAATGTGAATATATAGATAAAAAGTTTCCAAATCTATCAAAAACATTCATTGTACACTAATTATAGTAAAAATTAAAATGTTAAAAGATAAGCAAGTTAGTTATTAACAAGCAAAGCATCAAAGTTGTGTGCTTATAGATCTGCTATTTCTGTTGTTGTTCTTTGTATTTAACAAAGTATTAATAAAGGGTTCAAGTGATCAACTGTTGACCCCACAGTTGAGATAAAAACATTTAGAGAAATAGCAAAAGAATGACTGTGGAAACACATAAAATAAAACCAATTATTAGTAACACTATTTCATAATACATCCTACCTGAACTGTTAAAAGGATTTCGAGATGATCTCACAACCACACACTTGAGCCTAGGAAGAAATACAAACACAGGCCTGGTTAGCATCATGATAACACACTCACATTATGTTGTTTAGCATTGTTCGTTTCACGCTAGCACACACGTACACACAGCTCGATAACGTAAAATATTTACTGTGTAAGGCAGACACTTATTGAAATAAGTATACTCACAGTACGCACTTGCATTACCGGCGAACAGCGAAAACTCATGGACCTTCCTCCACCGTCAATGTCCCGGGCAAACATGCATTATGGGAAATGTAGTTCATCCAGGAAACCCGCTGATAACGTTACACCGTTGTAAGATGAAGTAACGTAACGTATTTGTCACATATTTAACAACTTCTAAAGTTACAATTACTTGGATTTTTAAACTATTTACAACAAATATTCACTGTGCACATTGTACAAATATATTCCCAGTTCCACATTTAAGACTATCGAAATTCAAAAAAAAAAAAAAAAAAAAAACTTTTAGTTACTTACCAAATCAGAGGTGATGATAAGATGGCGCTTAAGAAAACGAGGGCAATAAGACTAATGATAAAAACGGAGGTGGTGGTGGTTTCAAGCGGGCAGCATAAAAGTGCGCATTGCAAACAAATTAAAACAAATTAAACTGTGTTCCACATCCACACGGGCGGCCCAAACATCCCCGCATCAAGGCAAATTCAAGATGGCTGACTCAGCTTTCCTGAGGGAGAGATGACCCACCCACCAGAACGTCATGACGTCGATAACGTCATGACACTACCTAAACTTTTTGAGCGTTCCACACAAATTACCTATAAAATATTGAGCCCTCTTCAATTAAAGTGGCATAAATCTCAACAAAGCTCAACACTTTATAGTTTGGTCAACTGCATAACGACATTTGACTGTTATGACCTTATTACTTATGAGCTAGTACAACTGTTTGGGATTACAGTGTAGTGGCCTACCTTGGCTAAGGACGTGAGGGTGTACGTCTCCTCCTGCTCGGTGTGCGCCCAGAGTAAGGCACCTAGGCACCTCCCAACGGGTAAGCTACAACCATTACCAGTTCCACAACGACCATGGTCTCATCTTAGTATTGATTTTCTGACTGATCTTCCCCTCTCCCAAGGTAACACCACCATCCTGATCGTTATGGACCGCTTCTCCAAGTCCTGCCGCCTCCTTCCTCTGCCCGGTCTCCCCACGGCCCTGCAGACTGCGGAGGCCCTGTTTACTCACGTCTTCCGGCACTACGGGGTGCCAGAGGATATCGTGTCCGACCGGGGTCCCCAGTTCACGTCCAAGGTTTGGAAGGCGTTCATGGAACGTCTGGGGGTCTCGGTCAGCCTGACCTCTGGGTTCCACCCCGAGTCAAATGGGCAGGTGGAACGAGTAAATCAGGATGTGGGTAGGTTCCGGCGGTCCTACAGCCAGGACCGGCCGGGGGAGTGGTCGGTGTTCTTGCCATGGGCAGAATATGCCCAGAACTCTCTCTGCCACTCCTCTACTAACCTAACACCATTCCAATGTGTTTTAGGTTACCAACCGGTTCTGGCACCGTGGCACCAGAGCCAGACTGCGGCTGCGGTGGATGACTGGTTTCGGCACGCGGAGGAGACGTGGGATGCTGCCCACGTTCACTTCCAGCACGCCGTGCGTCGTCAGAAGGCCAACGCTGACCGTCACCGCAGTGAGGCCCCGGTCTTCGTACCGGGGGATTGGGTCTGGCTCTCGACCCGGAATCTGCCCCCCGCTTGCCGGAAACTGAGCCCGCAGTTTGTGGGGCCGTTCATAGTCCTGAGGAGAATCAACGAGGTTACGTATAGGTTGTTACTTCCCCCTGATTACCGTATTAACCCCTCATTTCATGTGTCTCTCCTCAGGCCGTGGTGGTTGGTCTACTCCAGGAGTCTGAGGTGCGGGAGGTTCCTCCACCTCCTCTGGACATCGAGGGGGCCCCGGCGTACTCTGTCCGTGCCATCCTGGATTCGAGGCATCAGGTGGGGGGCCTTCTGTACCTCGTGGAGTGGGAGGGGTACGGTCCGGGGGAACGGTGCTGGGTCCCGTGAGGGATATCCTCGATCCCTCCCTGTTGCGGGATTTCCACCCTGCTCTACGTCCTCCTGGTCGTCCCCGAGGCCGGGGTTGGCGCACTGCTGGTACTGCGCTTCGGGGGGGGTCTGCCTCCCCTCCTTGTTCGGGCAGGCTTCGGCGTTTGTCGTCACCGGAGTACTAACCACTGCCACCCCAATCACCATCACAATTGTCTTGTCTCGTTATCACACACACCTGGTTCTAATCCTCTAATTAGTCAGTGTATAAGTGTTCCCTCTGCCCCCTTGTCCTTGTGGGTGATTTGTTTATTGTGAAGGTTAGTGAAGTGTGTTTGACGCAGTTCTGCGTAAACCTGTATTTTGCGGATTAAAGCCTGTTATTCTGTGATTTACCCTCCTGTGCCTGACTCCTTCAACACCACCTCATCACATATTTAATGTGAAATTCACATAACGGTTATAAATGAGGACCCTGCAGTTTGAGGAGGTTGTGAGGGAGGTTGTGAGGGAGGTTGTGAGAGGATTTTGCACCTATAAAATGTCTGTCAACTGTGACTTTCATTATCACACTGTAGCAATTTAAAGGTCACTGAATTTCAGTGAAGTAAGCAGAGGTAATGTACACCATCAGACCAAACACTTAACTTTGACAGAAATATTGAAATTAAACAATTCTGTTCCTCCATGATGTACACACTCAAAGGTGTAGTTGCCTTCATCAGATGGTTGGATGTTGGTGAAGTGTAGAAACACTCGGTCATCCTCTAATTGTAGTGTGACTCTGGGGTCACAAGTGAAGTCTTTATGGTCGGTCCGAAACGACACTTGACAGTCATTCCCCCCCCTTATCACTATCTGATATTACAAAACATAAATCACTAAGTGTTTGGGTTGGGCAAACGGATGTATTTTTTTCAGTCACTGCGAACATGAAGGGAAACCTATTGTGAGTGTACTGTTTCGTGGGATTTAGATTGAGCATTAGTAGTGAAGTGAAAAAGTAAAGTTGATTTCTTATTGACCAACTGCATCAGAACTGCAAAGCACAGTTTGTTGCAAAAATTACTGATGTTAAGAAATTAAATATATCATGTGATACATCCCTCTTACATGCAACAACTGTGCATGAACCCCACAGCACCAGAAACAGAACCAGACATACAAACATACTGACCAACTGCAGAACCAAACATTACTCAATATTGTCTGCTCAGACCGAGTACAGAACTTAACTTCTATTCAACGTTATTTGCTCAATAGAGGAACAAGGTAAAAAGCCAACCAAAGTCATGCTGGGTTGAGCCAGTTATAATGGAGCTGAGAGGTCGAAGTGGTTCTGTTGTCTAGCTTCTACCTGTCTTACTGTTTCACAGGAACACTTGGCCCTCTGCTAGTGCATCTTGGTCTTTGTAACTGGGGTCTTTGCAGAGCACTCACCACAGAGAGTTCTAATGATCAACCACAGACACATCAACAGGTCCACTTCCTTCTTTAGACACAAACAATGATAGATTCTGCACCACCACAAGGCTGAAGTGTTCTTATATCATATAAGCCAAATGTAGATAATGGTTTGTTTTCCTCTAGAGTGGACATGCTGGGTTGGATACATGCAGCCCATACAGTATACATATTACTATAGAGGTAATGGATCTTATTGGAAATGAGGTTTTAATGAATGGTTTAGTTTTGTCGTTACATCTCTTCACTTGAACATGTAATTCATGTAGGCCTACATGATCAACAGAGATGGAACATTGAAAGCAAGGAAAATACATTGTCATGAAGAATGTTTTGATGATGACTCTCTACTGCAGGGAATATATTTTACAAATGCAATACACTGACACCTGGTGGAAATGCACATGATCACATCTGTCCACAGGAACATTAGTTATACTTAACGTAATGTAGAGGATTCACATGATCACATCATCTATCCACAGTAACATTGGTTCTATGTAACATAATGTGCAGGATTCATAAAGTAAGCGCTGATATTTACAGCTACAGAAGACGATCTACAGTATAGGATCTATTCAGCCAGGTGTCAGCAACCAATCAATGGAACTATATAAAGTCGAAGTGTATCAGCTGTAGAAATAGGGGCAATAAAGTATTCAAGATATACAGTAAATGGATATACTGTACAGTTGTATATCCAGGGCTGGTGAAATACTATTTAACCCCTAGTGATAGAAAAAGGTGTATAATGCCATGTCGTCATTGGTCAACGGAGCCAGAGGGTCAGGGGTTAGAATGTGGCAGCTGGAGTGTTGAGTAAAGCCCATTGTCTCTCCTTGTTAACGTGCTGTAGGGCTCAATGTCCTGTTGCTCCTCCTACAAAGACATTAACAATAGTCACCATATTACACTGTAAAATGTCATATGGGGCTGTGGAAATATTTTTAAATGTTGGCAAATTCAATTGAAAATGTGAAAGAGCATAGGTTGCAGATGCCTTACGACTCCAGGTAACAGCATGCAATAACAGCCCTGACAGAAAAGACAGTGTTGTTGCATCACCTCTTTAAAGGTGTACCCTGCTTTCTGCTGTGTTCTCCTGCTGTGTAAAAGAAGAGAAGACTAGTGAATGATCGTAGCATCACATGGTTTTACACAGCGGATGCTTTCTGGAGCAAAATGTTTCTACTTGTGTGTTTGTGCCTGCCAGTGTATGCTTTGTTTTTCCAACACTCATTTTTGACAAGGCAGGAAGTGAGAAGCTTCAACATTGCAGTTATTAGTGACCTAAAATAACCTTGTTGAGTCAGACTTAAACGTAGGTCAAGTAGCCTATGTCATACGTTTGGGTATTTCATATGATCTCAGATCTTGACAGCTCTTTGTCACACCATTGACATTTAGTTGCCAAGAGAGCACAAACGAATCTTGGATCTATAGCCTACCGCATATTTCTGAGGCCCATAGTTCTCTATATGAATTGTAGATCAGATTGTTATTTGAGATTGCACTTACAGTATATTATTACAGTACCCCCATAACAAAGTAATTGATTAATTAAATGACCAAATATGTCAAACACCCATAAATTCTTCTTTTAACAAGCTAATAAGAATGTCTTACCTGAGATGACATTTCCTCATGATTATTCCAGCAACGACAACGACGGCTACAAATCCTGCAAAGGCTGTTCTTATCATGAAATGGAAAGAAAGGTTGTTTGTGACATGGGGTCCTGAAAGATAAAAGGGAAGAACTCATTGTGATCCTAGAAGTCTTGTTTCTCTTCCTCCACCCTGGTCATTAACATTGTTGACAGATGCTCCATTTTAAGATAATTTTTCATACAATCCAATTCACTTGGACTGAGATAGTAGATATGACTAAATGAGACCAAACGTTCACAGTACAAGCTAAATGTGTATTACAGATTGTATCTATTGCACTGACACGCAAACCAAACACTTACCATTGACAGAAACGTTGAGATGCAAAACATTTATTCCTCTATGATTTACACACTCACAGGTGTAGTTCCCTTCATCAGATGGTTGAATGTTGGTGATGTGTAGAAACACTCTGTCATTCTCTGTCTGTAGTGTGACTCTGGAGTCACAAGTGCTTTTGGTACCATTTTGGTCAAACCGAAAGGACACGTGACACTCATTCCCACCACTTATCACTCTATCTATCTTACATATTGCATAAATCATTTCATGAATGGTTTGGTTTGGGCAGGCGAGAGTGTGTAAATCTGCTCCTGTTTCCAATGTTTTCACTTGAATCTCTGTAAACATGAAGGGAAATGGGTTGTAAGTGTATTGTTTCATTTAAAATGTTTGTTTTGCATTGACCAGCATTACAATTCCAATGCACAACGTGTTGCATAAGAGAAAGGTGTATAAAAATAATAATAATGATAATTACACATCAATTGAAGAGAATATTCTGACTCAAATGTTGCTGCTTCCCTAAATGCAGTTCAAATTGTGCTGAGTGGAACTCCTTTTGTTATACGAGGTAATGCTAATGGCATTAACATTTCACAAATGAAATATGAGGACAGGACCTCTTTCCTTTTTCAGTGTTGTACAAACTGTACATGCATGCTGTGTGTTTGAGAAAAGGACACGTCTTACCTTCAAAGGCTGTGCACACACCCCACACCAGCAGAAGCAGAGAAAGCCTGAATGCACGTCTTCCACACATAATGACCAACTGCAGAACCAAACGTTAGTCCAATATTTTCTGCTCAGACCTACAACAGATCAAAAGTCAAACTTAAGCACATCAAAGTGATGGTCCTTTGACAGTTTAGACCCAGTCACATAATCTGGAGACAGCCGAGAGGAGGAAGTGGTGCTGTGTAAATGTATTCTAGCTTCTATGGGTTACTTTCACAATGACAATACATCTCTTGGGCTTTGTCTAGGGGCTATGCAGTGCAACCACCACATATATTAAACTACATGTCAAGAGGTCATCTTCACTCCGCATATAATAATAAACTACGTGCCGTGGTCCACTTCCTGCTCTAGCAACAATGATAGATTCTGACATTACCCCAAGACTGAGGGGGGTTTATATCAAGTGTATGTAAGTGATGGTTAGATCTGGTCCTCCAGGTTTTGAACCTACCAAGTGCTATGTTTATGATATCACATTAGTATAATCATTAAATTATTACCTTTATATACCAATGCCTTATTGATACATCTGCAACAGGGCAATAAAGTCCAGGGGCCTCATTTATAAACACTGCATACTTATAAAATAGACCTCAGAATGCGTGTGCGCGGGTAAAATCACTGGGGAAGCCAATCCAGAAAAAAAGCCATATTCCAACCTATGTGTTGTGATAATTGCATTGTTTGCGCTATAACCTGTTCATATGCCTTGATACCGTGATATATCGGCCTAAAGGCCAAGACAATAAGACTACACCGTGGCTGAATAGATTCAACCACACCTGTATTTAATTACAACACCGGAGAGCAAACTCCGTCCAGTGAAGTCCACAAAACATATTGCATGTAGTTGTCGTATCGGGTGAATGGTGGCCATTATTGCTGTCAACAAAGAGTCTGCTCAAGCTGCACCGTGTTAGAGGCTTTTATTAAAATCACGAGGTTACAGCATAAGTTACAGACCCGCGGTGTGTCTGGAGAACGGCGTCCCAGATTGCCATGGCTGTTCTGCCCTTTCTGTAGTCTAGCCCCTATTTATAAACAATGCAAAAAGATGCTCCCTCTTCTGGCCAATCACCAGTCTCCCCTGTCTACAACACACTTCCTGTCTGTTGTATGTGACGTTACACTAAAACATTCCCTTTTGATACTAACATAAACAACATTCCATTTCTTCATGAAAAACATTTAACAACGTCATAATCTCAATACACAACATATTCCCCCCTTCGAGACAAATTAAAAGTCTCGAAAACAAACAGGATTATGACCAGTAACAATTTATCTTATTGAGTATCTTTAACCTTAAACCAAAAACATTCTCCTCTAGAGTGTAAATACCTTTCTATGAAATATGAATAACTGTTTATGAAGTGTGAATACATTACTATGAAATATGAACAAATCTTTATGGAGTGTAAGAGCGAAAAACTGTCCGGCAACCTTCCATCCATCAATCAAGACAGTAAAATTCTCTCACGGTCCCTCTGCCCCAGGCAACCACCTTCGGTACTCCAGATAAACTCATAAACCATGTAAATGCATTTGAAACTATGATGCAATTAAATACACATGTAAGCCCCTGCAAACAAAATCCTATCCAAAAACATCCATTGTAAGGCTGGTCAACCCATTGGACCCTACAGTGAACCTCTCCCTGCCTAAATTCCCTGTCCCTAATCATTCACGAAATAAACAAAAACATCTAAGATCCTCACATGTATTCAATAACATCAAATATCCTTCTACAAAAATTAATCCCTAAGGCTATGACACAAATTATGTATTACACATGTCTATATTTCATTGCAGTCACTGGAATGTAGTCCACTACACTTCATCTCCCCATAGTCTCAACTTCCAATGGATTTGTTGATGATGGAATCGGAATCTCTCCACACCTTTCTTGTTTCATCTCCTCCAGTCATATTGTCCCTTCATATTGTCCCTGTTTGAATATTTCAATCTCCACATGTCCCCCAAATGCTTCTGGAAGAAAAGAAAAGAAACGACCAAACAGTATCTTTTGCAAAACAACCCTTTCAAATTAAACATCAATATCAACTAAGAATATAAAAATGATATATAAATGATGTATGAATCACATTAACCTATTCCCCCCTTTGATTCATAAATCATACTACAAATCACACTAATATTGGAAAAAAAAATTTTTTTTTTGAAAAATCATCAACTCATAAAAAATTATATTTATCCATTCAGTTCTACTTGTCCATCTTCCTCCAGATCAGGAACAGTCAACACCGGCCTCTGAGTGTTGTCTCCAGGCATCACTCTCCAACCTATCTCAATATCATAGCTTTCTCAAAGGTCAGTAATAAATTACAAACATCACACAGTGTTATCAAAGCTGCCATTAAATGTAACCCATCACTGCCCCTACTGGCCTACCTGATTTTGCAACCAAGTCTTCTCAGATCTCCCAAACGCATCCCTTATATTCTTCAATGCATATATAACTATCTGAACTATCTGGACTCAAAGTATCTACTAATATTATCCATATGATCTTCCCAAATGTTACACCATACCATGGAAAAAGTCCCCCCTTCTCCCTTAGACTTATCCTTCAATGATAGGCTTGAAGACTATTAAATGTCACCATATCTCTTTTCACCCTATTTCAACCCTAGCTTGCTACCCCTCTTTTAATGGTAGAAACCTCATATGGAAGCTTCAACGTTGACATGTAACAACATCCTGTCTATCCATAGGGTAAGAATATATATGCTTTATCACCACAAACCCTCCAAATATCTCAAATTCCCCATAGTCACATTGTCAGGCAAAAGCTAATCTTTTAACCATCAAAGTCCTGCTGTTCTTACTACCTGGTACATAAAAAGTAACATATTTCTCATTACTACCCTTAAGGTCATGCATACCCAAAGTTATCATATAACATCACAATCTGATATTCCCATAAACATACCCCTTACCTCATATGTTTTATTAGAACAAAAACAACTTTTAGCCCTCAATGGTTACACCTCAAATGCTTCAGTTACGCTGTTACCTGATTTTCTTTACCATCCAACAAATTCACACAAATTAATTCACTTAACCCAATAACACCTAAACCTAGGCTTAAACAAATGTTTTGACAACGACATTATTTTATCTGTTACTGACTGTTGCTGATACCACAGTCATGACAAAGCATAAGATTGACACATACTTGATAGAGGTCGAGCGACCGTCTCTAACATGCTTGGTTGGAATTCTCAACAGACATGGACCCTCAAGATTCCTCACTGATATTACAGAATGAGCTGCTGGAACCTGCCCATCTATCTCTAATTTTCACAACAGAAGAATCAAACCACTCCCTTTAGTTTCTCTCTTCCCTAACGAGCGGTACTGATCAGATACCTCTCCTTGTCTGTCATTAAAATCAAAGACCTCATCCTGTACTTCCATGATAGTTTCCTTCACTATTTCAGATGAATCTATATTGTCTCTATTCTTCCTGAACTCCCTCAATGACTGTGGAGGCTACAACAGACCTCAACTCTTCCATTATAAGCGTTACTTTACGAATTACATAGCCCTTTAACCAATAATTCTTAACCGGAACAAATTCTAATGCTTGCACTAGATAAGTACACTTCTTCTCCATAATTATCTCTCCATGTGGGAGGAACGTCCCCATCCTAACCCTAATAAGTATTTTTTCCCCTAAAATTGGTGTTGGAGCTATTGGCTCCCTTATAATCAAATGCGATATATTTATGGCTTTAATAACTATCAATGTTGAAAGATTAAATTGCTTCTCACTGTTGTTTTAATAGACTGAAGTGTTAATGTCCTTATTGTTGCTTCATCCATTTTCCCCAAAGAAAAGTTGTCTTTGCTTGTACTTCCATCTATCACCACTAGTGTCAGTTTTTCCCAACTCTCAGTCCTATCTCTAATCCCTAACTTTCAAACTTTTGATTATAAAAAATACACCTATAATTACCTTGATCTCCCTACTCTAAAATGTCCTTCACCATTGTTCTCTCTCTTTTACTACTAACTTTGAAAC